GGGAAGGTACCGCAGCACCTTCTCCCGTCTATGCAGCTTCCAAGAGCTATGCGCAGCTGAGGTGAAGTATGGGCCCCACTCAGGAGCATCCCCCGCCTGTCTCAGCACATATGGACACACACAGAAGCCTTCAGGGAAGCACTTACCACCTGCCCTGCCCCACACAGGTCTCCACAGAGAGGCACGCCAGCATCCAAAGACATACTCCCGCCCCAACACACACCACCTGTGTTCCACTCCCCCACCTTGCCCTCCAGTGGGGCACAGGGGGAGGAGGGAGAGTCTCTAAAGCTGCGGGTGCAGGAGGTAAACCCCCTTCCCCTCCCCAAAGGCTACAACTCCCCCTGCATTGACACATGCGCTTTTCAATCTCCACTCCTCATGGGCCCTTCCAAAGACTCTCCTGATTATTAAGTATTGGGGGCAGGGGAGGGAGGAGACTCTGTTTTGATTAAAGCTCCATCCTGTTTGGATTATCTGCTTCCTGGTGACTCAGTCTGACTTGCTCAAGTTAATAACGGAGTCAATCTCAAACCCACTAGGATCCTGGGCTGCTCCCTAATTAGGCTCGGGACACATCCCTGCCTATGTTCAAAACTTGCTCCGCTTCCTGACCCAACCCAAGCAGTCAGACTGTAGATGTGCAGAGGGAGGAGAGCTGCTCCACAAGACACTGGGGTTGGGGGGGGGGGAAATAACTCGAAGAAAAGGAAAACGTAGGTTTAAGTTTCATCTGATCTTCCTGATCTATCGGGCTGTGGAACAGACGCCTCAAGGGAAGCAGATTGGACAAAGCACTAGAGAATGGATTGGAGGGAGCGACCCTGCATCAGCCCAGGACAGCATGATCTTATCTACGAAGTGTGCCAGTGACTAGCCGAGATCCAAAGGGACCTCCCAGCCCTCCAGACAAAAGGGGAGAACTGTTCTCTAGGCTCAGTCATGGGCACTCACACATACGGCACGTAACCCTGATCTGGAGGGAGGCATTACTCTTTGCCGAGGTACAGGCAATTTAGACTGAGGGCCTAAAGGAGACTGGACTATGGCTGGAATTTTCCTAACATCCTGGGTTGAGCAAAAAGGACCTTACATCCATGCTCTTGGATCTGCACTCCGCCAAGCTAAGGTCTCATTTCTTTAGTTCTTGAATAGGACAAGACGGAAACCTAACCCCCTGGGGCAAGTGAGCCAGCCCACAAGTTAGTTTACTTCTTGCATTTCATTAACTTCAGACAATTAAACTAGACTGATTGGTTTCACTTCCTGGTTCTCCGGCCACAATGCTGCAGTGCACCAGCCACAATGCTGCTGCGTTTAAGCTGTGAACAATGCAGGGAAGTGTTCAATGAAACAAATTCTCTTCTCACTGAAAGTCATGAAAACTTGTGTTTTATTATTTAAAAAAAACAAAGCACAGAATTTAGACTGGGGTCTCCACAAAGCTGCCAACATCCCTGTAAGCGGGTTGCCACTTCCTACCAGCAACTCCCAAGTTCAAATACACTGGGAATGGAAAAGAACCAAGGCAATTAGGTCAAAATATTTGCTTTCAAATGAATGGAGACAAATGATGTAGCGGTTAAGGTGCAGCAAAGGGAGTCCAGGCCCAGGGGATCTATTCCTGATTCTGCCTTTGACTCACTTGTGTGATCCTGGACAAGTCAGATTACCCAGAATTTTCTAAGCGTGACGTCTGACTTTGGCTGCCTCCATTTTTAGGTGCTCAGTTTGAGACACTTGAACACCTGCAGTTCTCATTGACCTCAGCTGGAGCCGTCTCACACTGGTTCTGAAAATCAAGTGCAAGCCCTAGTCATCTCAAGTCCTGCACCCACAACTTGAGCCATCAGAAAATCAGAGACCATGTTGGGAAATGCTAACTTTAACTTCTCCCTGCCTCAGTTTCCTCAGCTGTAAAATGGGAAGAAGAAGAACGGTACCTTTTTCCTAGGGATCTTGAGAAGCTTAAATACAGCCAAATGCAACCCTTCGCTATGCCCATGCAGCCCCACGGACTTCATGTCCAAAGGGTTGCACAGGTGCCTCTGGGAGGACAATCGGACTCTGTCTGAGCAAACTATTTTAAGGCATTTGGATGAAAGGTGTTATACAAGTGCAAAGGACTCATTAAACTAGGGCAAGTGGCACTTTCTCATACCGCTCTCCTCATGCCTTCTCCCTATGCCTAACTTGGGTGGCAAGAGCTATTTTAAGAGGCCACTGACTTTCCTGTGTGTCTTTTAGTTTATTGAAACTACTGCTTTGCCTTTCCCCAGAACCGTCCACTCAAAGATCTGAAAGCTCTTTACAACCTATCAAGAAATTCAGCCTCGCCTTGGAAGGTAAGGAAATATTATTAGCCCCATTTTACAGCCATGGAGGCTGAGGCTTTGCAAGGTTAAGTCATTTGCTCAATGTTACGCAGCAAGTCAGTTGCAGAGAGAATAGAATCCAGCAGCCCTGACTCCCAGTCCTTTGCTCTAATCATTATGTCTGCTTTTACACAGACAGAAACGATCCCCAATGTTACTTATTCTAAGCTACCCACCTACACCTATCCATTGCTGCTTGAGGTGCCAGCTTCTAGAGGAGATGTAAAACTGAAATCCCCACCACGTGTGTCCCTTTAAGGTCCTTGGGGACATTGTGTGTAAGGGGAGGGGTTAACACCAGCCCCTTGCTAGCTAATAGCATCTTGGCAACCTGCAGTTTCAACTGATCTCAGGCGTCTATTTCCTGCCCTTCATATTGTTGCGCAGTGCCGCTGTGCAGTTAAACAGCTGCCCTGCTCCACTCCAGCGGTAGGAAAAGCAATCCACACACAGCCGCTGGCCAAATCACAAAGGGGTTGCAAAGCTTAACTAGTTAACACGTCTAAAGCATTTGTAATTCTGGGACAGGAAGTGCTACAGAAGGGCAGAGTGTCACTGAATAGGCAGATGATGTGTAAGCTTGTCCTTTGCTCCTGCTGGTACACAGCTATCCTGGTCGGCAGCATCCCTAGCTATTATCCCTCTCTTATCACCAGATCGGCTCGTTCCTGTAAATCCTGACCTATAGAACTCCCTGCTATTCCAGGCCAAGGCCTCCCACACAGGACTTGGCATATACCTTGATCCTGTCCCCGCTATTCCAGGACGGGGCTCCTCCACACACCGCTCGGCTAGTCCTGACCTGCAGCAGCCTGTGGGCAAAAGCTGCCAACTCGAGATGGGTTTCATTTATGTGTGTTACTTAACCCAACCCGAAATCCACCCGCAAAAGCGCACAGCAGCAGTCTGTGCTGGTGCATCAGGCTAGAATACAGTCTGGTGGAGCCATCTCCACTCGCAGCGTCAGAAGGCACATTGTGTTCTCAAAAATCCTGCTCACAGCATTACCCACGAGTTCAGAGACCACAAAACAGAGAGAGAGATTTTTAAATAGGAACTAGACGAATGAATATATAACAAGCCAAGGCAAAAAAAGGGCCAGATTCTGACACAGGCTGGATTTTACTCCTTCAAACGTTCCATGAAAGCCAATGAGACTACTCACAGAGTGAATGCTAACTGGCATAAGTATGAGGATCAAAATCTGTAACCCTCATCCTCCCACTTCTCTTTACCTCTTTCCCCAGGCACCCTTTTGGCTCTGATTAAATACAATAATGAATGGAAGCGCATTCCTTATCGAATTCTTTTCTTTTCAGTCAGATTCTCAGTCTCAACGGCTAGCTTATTATTCCAGTTGAAAGCATAGAGCCCAAGGGAGGGCCTATGCAATATGTATCGTGCGCTTAAACTTGCAGGCTGCCAATGCTGCTGTCCGCAAACAAACCAAGCACCCAGACACGGCCCAAAGAGAAAGCGTTTCAAACTCGTAATTAAGTGTAGACAATTCTCAGGTTCAGAGCTGCTCTACAAAAATGGGTCCAGTTAAACAAAAAACAAAAACAAAAAAATCAATCAATTTTTAAGTTACATTCAGTTACATGGGTGCAACTCCTGTGTGGACACACTTAACTCTCTTTGCAACGGATCAAAGTAAGCTACGTCAATATCAACCAGTGTGAACAGCTTTACGTGCGCCCACACACGTTGGCACAGGTGCAACTCAACTGATTTAAAAACTGATTTTAGTACAAGTGGGGCCACTTGCATGTTGGCAAGGTCCAAGTGCAATCTCCCAGCAGGCAGTTCCTCTCTCCTTCCCCTGGACCAACTACTGGCTCAACCTTGCAACAGTCCATGAGCAATATTCCCACAGAACCCAACAGGAGTATTGCCGGTGGAGTGCTTGCAGGGTCAGTAGCCAGGCATCCAGATTCCCCCCCATCCAGGGTGGGATTCAGTCTCGTCTCGCCGAGCCATTGCCACCTGCTCATCTGATCAGCTCATTCAAAAGCCGTGACAAAAAAACAACAACTCGCTAGCAGAATGCAGGCAACCAGCCCACTGTTCCCCCAGCTGCTCTGTGGGGACAAAGCAAACCCATCCAAGAGATGTTTCAGCCAAGGGCAAGCTATAAAGAAAGGTGACAAAGGCAGAGAGGGGAGCTACCATGTACCAGTGTTTCTTACCTTCATTGGTTTTCCTCTTGCTAACACAGACCATATATACGCTACTCTCCCATCCCACCCACGCCCACAGACCCTCCTGCAATCCCAGTCTGCCCTGCACCTTTCAGGTGTATCAAATGCACAGTAAGCCCTGAACCACATTCCTTATGCTAATGCGCGCCAGACCTGCCCCCACCTGGGTTATTCCTGGACTTGGCTGATTGGTCCCTGACTGCTCACTAGCTAAAATGTCCGTGGATTTACCCTAGTCTGAGCAGCTGCCTACCTCTGTCCCAGCGCAGCTCATCTGCCTTCTACCTCACAATGACCCACAAGAGGTGGCCCAGTGAATAGAGCACAAGCCTGGGTTGCTGGAGGCCTGGGTTCAACTCCTGCAGCAACACACACATCCTAGGTAATCCGGGTCAAGTCACTTCGTCTCTCTGGGCCCCCATTCCCCAGCTGTCAAGTGGGGAGCATTGTGCTTCCTTACCTCACGGGGGGGTGTTGTGAAGATATTGAAGGCTGGTTCTCAGATACCACAGTGGTGGGGGCTAGATAAGCACGAGAAATGGACAGCACTACATGCCCATCTCTCCCCCCCTATCACCTCTCATGAGGAGAAGGAGGGCAGCTCTGGCCCCTTCTCCTCCCAGAGAGATCCACAGGCACCACACAACGAGCACAGGACACTCTGAAAAGTGCTGCTAAGAAAACCTGGAGAAACAGCCCTGAAACAGCAACTAGAGGAGGGGCAGCAAAACAGGCTGGTAACAGCCTGTATCGAGCTGATCAGAGATGTGCTGGGCCAGAACTTGGATGGGAGCCCTCCAAGGAATAGCTACAAGGAAGGACACACAGGAAGTGGTACTGCTGACTAAATGGGGCTCTCCCCTTGTACTGATGCCAGCACTGCTGGCCATGTAGAAGTTAAGTCCTGACCAGCTGTGGTCATTAAAGACCTGTGGTAAATTTGGGGAGCTGTAGGAGTGTTACATCCCATTACCCCAACTCCCACTGCAGTTTTGATGGGGGTATAAAACTGCCTCATTTCCCAAATAGTTGTACAAGTATTACTGTTAAACAGCTGCCATGTTCCACTCCAGAGGTGGCTGCATTTCATTGCGGCACACAGGGATCCTTTCACTTTATATCCTTCACCTGTTCCACAGGTGTCTTTTGAGGCTTTAAACAACCAGTGAAGGGCTTGGAGACCCTCCTGGTATTACTCCTCCATCCCTTCTCTCCCACCATCTCCCCTCCTCCCTCTGATCCACTCCTCTCTCCCCATCCTAAAGTCTCAGTCTAGGATATTCCTGGCGCTGCAGTATTGGTTGCTGCGAGCACGGTCTGAGAAATGGCAACAGATGGGGCCTTGAGGCCTGTTCATGACAGATGGCTGCTCTCCCCGTAACACAGGACAGGGGAAGCCGGAGATGATGGAAGGCCCTAGCTGGCAGTTTCAACAGAGATACAAAGGAGAAGGGAGATGCCTGGGTGAAGGGAAAGGGCTTCATTAGTGGACAGTGCAGACCAGACAAGAGAGCAGCTGAGCTCTGGGACTTCCTGGGGTTCTGGTCAGTCACATGCCAGGAGCAGGTTTGCCCAGAGAGACTCATGCAGCGGGGAAGCCCCCCCACCTCCTACTCACCATTGACCGTGAGGTGCACCCAGCTGCCGTTGTGGAAGGTGTCGTACTGCTGATCCAACATAAGCACTTTGCACTCGTACCAGCCCTGGTCCTCAGAGCGAATCTGCTCGATGCGCAGGGATGCCTTGTCATGAAGGCTGGCGCGGCCTGGAAGAGACACGGACAGAGTCAGAGGGACTCAGCTCTCAGCCGGGAAAGGGGGCCCTGAAGCCGCAATGCAGCATCAGCCTCACCCCTCAACTCACCACTTGACACCCAGCCTCTCGAATGGCACTTACAGAGGCTGCGGAGACCCTGCCCCCAGCCCAGGCTCTCTCTCCACCACTGAACATTGAGGCCGGGCTTTTTCAAAAGGGGCCACTGATTTCTCTATTTTGGGGGGCCCAACACAACGCACCACAGGCCCAATTTTCCAGGCACCGCAAGGCCTGCTGACTTCAAAGACAGCAGCCAACGCTCACCTCCACAGGGGTCTCAGGCTGGGCACCCAAGAACTGAGGCCCCTGGAATTAGAAAATTCTCGCTTGCCCATCCAGTCTGCCAGGATATCCCCGCTGACGATCAGCCCCATGTTAAAGAAGGTGGGGGCGATGCACACTGCGAATCTGAGATCAGTGCCCTGGGGACACGGGTAGGGCCAACAGACCATGAGAGAGACCAGAAGGTCAGGGCCCCATGGATTTGGAGCTCATCTGGGACACAGGGCTTTCCCCACATCTCAGAAGAGAAGACAACCTTCTGCAATGAGGATTAACAGCACCCACTCTACTGCCAGCAGAGGGGCCCTGCACAGACACACGTCGGGGTTGACTCCAGCTCCGTGTTCAAGCCAAGATGTGTCCTGGAGCTCTTTCACCAGCCACTGCTGCCACAGAATTGCTCCCTCTCAAAGGCAGCCCAGCCCTCCCCAAGGAGGAAGCTCCAACATGCCCCCGTTCCGGGCTAGCGCACATCACTGCATCCAGGGGACAGGCCACGAGACAGGAGCCCTTCACTTCTAGTTCAGAGTCTATTCCATGTGTGCAGTGACTCAGAGCTACCCCCTGCGGCCGTGGGGCAGCCGCGTGCCAGGGGAGCCTCACAACTCAGCTTCCAGTGGGTAAGTGCTCCCACCACAGAAACCACCAGCCCCACTGGCACTAACCTGCCCCCCATTGACCAAGGACTGGATAGAGCGGAGAGAGCCAAGCCCCCCTCAAGGTGATGGCTCCGGGGCAGCCTTGAGGCATGTGCCAAGGAGACAGACGTTGAAAACTGACTCGCAGCAGAGCAAAATGCAAACCAGGTACGACCTGCGGCTGGTGCGCAGGGTTGGTGGAATAGGACAGGCAAGGACACACTCGCAGGCCAGAGCGAGAGGACGAAAACCCCAGCCACTCATGATAGAATCATTTTCTTTCTGGCCAGAAAAGAGAACCACACAGCAAGCTGCTAGCTAGTTTCCCTGCTGGACACCCTCCAGGGACTGCCAGCTCCCCAACCACGCTGTTTGCTGGGAATTAGGGCTCCTGGCCAACTCCCACCTTGGAGTGATGGCGCTGGCTGGAAGCAGAGGCACGGATGGGATATTTGAGTCTCTCCCTTGCTCCTAGGGTGCACACTCACACCTTATCTCTCCCCTTCCTGGACAGCACAGCAGGGAACTGATGTACCTACCTGCGGAGGAAACCATTCCCTCCCCGCACCCCCCGCTAATACCTCCTTGGCAGTAACCCCTTTATCGTCTGCCAAGTCCCATGCTCAAGCCAACCAAACAGCTGTGGGGTGCCTCCCTGCCTCCTGGCCAAGTGACTGCTCTCCCAGGTCCTGTTATTCTCCCTATCTCACTGGGAGATCATTCAGGGGCAGCTGTGCATCTGCACGGTTTCAGTTTAGGGCCGTTCCCCCACCCATGTATACATTGTGTCCACACAGGGCTGGGATCAAAGCCCGCCTGGTAACAGGATCCCTGCCCTCTCTCCCTCCCCCACCGATGCTTCAGGGCATGGATTGTGCTGCATCAATTCTCCATCCGCATGATTCCCTCCTCCCCTACCACCACCGTGCAGCTCCATGCACCACATGCAAGAAATAGTCACTGCACCTCCAGCTTCCTACTGCTGCAAGGGGCCGACTGGCAGCGGCTGGAAGGGATTGGTAGGGCATCTAAGGAGATGCAATAGCGTCTCACCCCAGGGCTTTGCACACCTGCTACAGTCACCGGAGACCAGGTCATAGCCTGGGACGACCCTTTCTGCACCCTGTCCCCTCCCCCCACGAGGATGGCCAGCTGCTGCTACACCTGCAAGCTGCCTCCCTGTCCTGATCCTAACCCTCCTCGGGTCCCAGCAACCACGGGAGGCTGCAGGGGACTATGGGGTGGCGAAGGGCTGCAGCACAAGCCCCTAGGAAGCCAGCAATAGGCAAACAGGGCTGCGCAGGGCAGAGGTCCCCATGGGAAGCAGGCCTATGGAGCCACCCACATGGACAGCTCACTGCCCGCTCTCCCTTTCCCCTTCCCCTCAGGCAAGTCGCTCCACCAGGTCAGGCCAGTCTCCTCACTGACTCGGTTTCTCCCCCGCCCACCCGCTTTCTAGAGGTGCTGAGCTCCCGCAGCCCCCAGATACCCCAGCAAACACCCCAATGACCTCAATGGAAGCAGCAGGGGCCTGGTGTCCGAAAACCTCGGGCTCTCTCAACAGCTCGGACGCTGGCCTTATACCCGGGGGACCTCTGGATCCAGCACCTCCTAGCTCAGTCCTGCCCCACTCACCCAATTCAGTTTCATCTCCCCCTCCCAGGGGTGTCCCCTGGAACTGAACATCCAGGGGGACAGGGGAAGACGCAGTGGGAGGACTAGTTCCCCTTGCGGCAGAGAGGACACCAAGCAAGGCTCCTGTCCCCAAAAGCAGCAGCCCAGACTCTCCGCTGTTCCCAGGGAGCAGCAAGGCTTGCCCTTGGTTTTACTTCCTTGGCTCCTTTCGTCCCACACAGCCCAGCTGGCTTCCCGATGCTGCCGCTTAATTAAAACCAGCCGGGTGGAAAGAATGGAATGAAAGGGAGAGGGGGAGAGAGACTTTCCTGGAAGGGGGCAGACTGGAGACAGTCCTGTGCCGAGCCGCCAGCTCTCAGTGCACTCCAGGGGCAGCTCCTCACACACAGTCAGCATGCTGGGGAACGGTGCATAGGAATGCCCCTGCCCTCGGAAGGTGCTTCACGGCTGGAGGACACAGTGTGCATCCGCCTCAGCCTACGGCAGGTTGGTCGCTCCAGGTGAAGATGCTGAAACACCAAGCCCAGTGGAAGGGCCACGGCTGCCCCATCCCCTCTCAGCACAGGAGCCCGTGGCTCGGCAACTCACCTGCATACCCTGGGTCCACGTGGGGAGGGTAAAACCCAAACTTGATGAAGATGGGAATGGGGACTCCGAATTTGAACCACTCGACCACATAGGGAGGGGGCTGCCCGGTCAGCGGATGGATCACGTCGCATCCCAGGATCACGCTCTCACCAGCACGAGCTGTCACAAACTCGGGTTCCTCCCTTGAGCCGTAGACACCTGGGAGAAAAAACAAAACAAAACAAAAAACAAAAACAAAAAAATCAGCCGGGCAGAATCGGTGGCTTTTATTGACAGCAGCCTCTCCCCTCATTCCTGCAGGTACACGTGGCGACTCTTTCACAGGGCACACTAGGGCTTGGGTACCAGTAGTTGGGCCTGGTTAGGAAATGGAGACACTCCCTCTAGCAGCTGAGCTCCCTACTGCCACGCTGGGGCGTTGAGTAAAGGCGCGCGCCCCAACTGTGCAGCAGCAAGTCACCCACAGCACCACGCTAACGAGGGGCACATGGCCAGGCTCTACAGGGCAGCAAGCCGGCAGCATAGTGCCCCGATGCTAGCCGAAGGCTGGGAGCAGACCAGGGCAGCAGGGCCATGTGGAGGAAAGCCAGCAGACTAAGGATATCCCACTCCACAGGCCTCTGTTGCCGCTTGCCATGGTGCCAGGGATGGATCGTGCTAGCTTCCCCATCAGCAGTTTGAGAACAGGAAACTGCGTCCAAACCTAGAGAGTCACGGCATCCAAAGGGCAACATGTTCCCAGTAAGCCCCTCCACCCCGCTGGGAAACAGCGGCTTCCACAACTGAGACACACAAAGTCTGCCAACACCGCACATGGTGCCAGTGCAACCGGGTTATTAGTGTGATTTCAAGACCTGCCAGAGGCACCCCTTGCTCCAGCTGCTCGCTGTCCTCCCAGCGACCGGCCAGAGAACAATCCACTTCCCGCCAGGCCAAGGGGGCGGGGTCCCTCACCTGCTCCAGGGGCACCTAAGCCGCCCCTCCCCACCTCGCCAGAGCCAGAGGTGGGCCGAGGAGACAGTTCACCCTGCAGCCACTGGTTTGTTTGGTTGGTTCATTGGATCGCTGGGGATTGCTAGCTGGGAGGATCCGTTACGTGTGTTCCCCCCCTTTTTGGGGAGCCACAACAAGCTACTGAGCATGCCCAAAGGCTGCTGCAGAGCATCTCCATGCTGCTATGCCCAGGGCTGGCCACTCAACTCCGAAAGGAAGGGGAGCAGAGTGGGGACACTGGGGGCAAGAGACCGAAGGGAAGTGGCTGGGAGTGTAAAAAGAGCGAGGGCGAACGTGATGGATAGATGTTGCCTACTGATGGCCCCTTCTCGAAGTTCTGCCTGCGAGTGCGAAAGACCAGGCCGTGGGCGCAGAGAGCAGACAATGCTCTGGTCTAGCCCAGCAAAGCACGGCAGGGGAGGGGGCGGCCCCCAAGGCTGCCCACCCTGAGGCCTGCTCCCCCTGAGCACATAGGCCTCTCACCGACTACCCAGCCAGCCCCCCAGCTCCCTCTGCCCCCTCAGCACGTGGAGACTCCCTCCAAGGTGACCTTCCTCCCACGCTCCCCACCCCCACATGCAGGTGCCCATGCCTCCCGTTCTGGAGGAGGAGGTGGTGGTGCAGGCAGGAAATGCACAGCTCTTCTATCAGCTCTGAATTGCTTAATAATATCTTCAGGGACGCCTCTCCTCCCTTCAGCAGGGGAGACATCCATTCATAAACCCACTCGCCTCGCCAGCCAATTACCGCAAGGAGCTACAAGCCCCTGGAATGGGCCTTTCAACAGGGAAAGTGCTGACGCCACCCAGGCTCAGCCCAGCGAGCGGTGACAGCATTAAAACAGCTGCTCTGGACGCCCCGGGAACCCGCCTGACACATCCACCCCCAGACCCTGAGCCAGCCCTGCCCTACCCTCATGGCCACCCCACCTGCATCTCCCCAGAGCCAGGAGACCTATCCCCTAGCTCCACATCCCCCTGCAATGTCCATACCCCACTAACCTGCACCAGCCACATCACCCCTCCCAAAGACCAGAGCTAGCCCCCACAGTCCAAACACAGGCATTTTCCACCTCTCCCCAAGCCTGCTGCCGGCCCCTCCCCACACGTTATCGGGAGCCTGCAGCTAGCCCATTTCCCCTTGCGAACACAGGACTCCCCCAGGCTTAGCAGGATTGACTCAGGTCAGGTCACCGCAGGAGAGAAAAAGACCCACGTGTTGCAGAGAACGGTGCTGCAGCAGGTGGCGCTCTTTCCTTTGCGTCAGCTCTGTCCCAAAAGTCCCAGGGCTGTAGGGTGATCAGATGTCCCGATTTTATAGGGACAGTCCCGATTTTGAGGTCTTTTTCTTATATAGGCTCCTATTACCCCCCACCCCCGTCCCGATTTTTCACACTTGCTGTCTGGTTGCCCTACAGGGCTGCGCCTAGGGGGTGCTAGTTTGCGGACGGCGCAACCTTTCAGATAAATCCTCCGACCAAAGGCCCATTGCGCCACAGATGTTCTGGCCAACTTCTACTAGGGATAACTCACCCCTCTGCAATTTCAATGCGGAACAGCTAGGTTCACCCCAGGGCAGGCTGTATTTCAAGGCCAGGTAAAAGCAAGCCCTGGCACTCTTCATCCATAGAGTTCAAAGTGTGTTACAAAGATCAGCATCCTCCGCTCCAATTTCCAGATGGGGAAACTGAGGCACAAAGCGACACAGGAACTTCCTCACGGTCACCCAGCAGGCCAGTGGCAGAGCCAGAAACAGAACCCACATCTCCAGAGTCCAAGTCCAATGCTTTATCCACCAGGCCACATTGCCTCCCCTACATGGTTCCTCCAGGCTTCGCACAATCGCAGGGGTAGTGCAGTGGTTTGTGGTTTCCCCTTGAGGTATATATAGCAAGCTATTAGCAAGTACAGGATTTGCGAGAAAGGTGCAGGGCTCACAGCAGCTCGCTGTGGCATACCCACTCCTCCCCTTCTCCATCTTCTGAACCAGCTTCAGAAAAGAGGAGAACCAGCTGCTCTCCTATAAGGGCTGGGAGGTGGGTGGGAGCCCACACAGTCCTACCCTGCACAGGCCCATTCAAGGGCTCTCTCCACAGCAGGAGCTGTGCGGTAAGGCCTGGGAGTACCATATTCATGGTACACAGGGCCAGTCTCCTCTGCCAGCCAGCCATGCTCAGCATGACAGAGGCAAGGAGAGAGAGCTTTAAAACCCTTTGCAACCCAGAAATTCCACAATCTTCACCCCCACCAGCCTCCGCACAATCTTACCAACCCAAGTCAGGGCCGGAGCAGCTGTTCGCAGCCCCCTGCTGCTCCCACACCATGCCCCACATCACCCCCTGCTGGGAGAGGCTAGCTTTGCTGTTCCTCTGAGCCCCTTGCCGCAGCCAGCGCCGCTCCCCAGCGTATCTGTTACAGTGAAGTGCTGGGACTACAATAACCGTGAGCTCCCCAAAACTAGCACCCCTACAAAAGATTTCTGCAAAGCAAGGCTGGGGCTTACGAAGCCATCTGCCACATCACAACCAGTGCCCTGCCCCATTCCCTGCAGAGACGCCTGCTGGAAGAGGCTGGGGTTGGAGTTGCTTGGGAGCTCCCCTATAGCCCGCGCCATTCTCCCAGGGGCAGGAGAGCAGCGGTTTTTAAAAGCTCCTTTCAGTCCGCTCCTGCCTGGATCCTGCAGAAGCCAGAGCCTGGGGAATCAGGGAAGCGGCTCCGTGGTACTGCGGCTTCGGGTAGCGGAGCTCTTCTAGCGTGAAAAGGCTCCTTTCCGCATGCAGCCGGGAAGCTGCTCACGCTGCTGCTGCCCCCGCCAGCGAAGAATCTTCATTCTTCAGGGAGGCATGTTCCCAGATCCTTCGCTCTGCTCTTCAGAGCCAGCTTTGATTGGCCAATAGTGACATCACTGTTTTTCCACAACAGGAGAGTAAGATCACTGGTTATTTTTGGCTCAGACACAAACGTAAACCAGCAAACGGCCCCCACAGGCCCCTCGGGGCCCCTGTGCAGGCTGATAATCAAAGTCCCTTTGGGGACGCAGGAGCCAGGTGGATTTGGCACCGCGGCAAGCCGCTGCTTGCTGGGATAGCGTAGGCAGCAAAGACTCGCTCCTCTGCAAGCTGCACCAGTGCAGGGAAAAACATGCACCAGTCTGATCGCACAAGGCCACCAGCCATGAGTGTAGCACCTCTACAGCTCCCCAGCACAGGCACGGGGACAGGCGAAGGCTATGGGGTCTGTAGCCAGGAGGAGGAGTGTACCTGGGGTGACGTATAACGGGCAGAAGCATGGCAAAGGGGTGGTTGGGGTGCAGGTGTAGTAGGAGGGACCTGGGGACAATAGAAGGGTTTATGCTGTGTGTGCGCGTGCACGCTGAGTGGTAGATAGGCTGCCTGGCATGTGGGCACGGAGGGGCCATGTCTCTTGCCTGGGAGGGTAACTGCTCACTCGGGTCAGGCACACACCGCAGGTGCATGGCTGCAGACCACCACCAGGGAGTGGGGACATGTCTAAAAGCAGAGGGGAGCCACACAGCAAGTAGCTGCAGCCTTCTCCACCAATCATCATCATCCCATCCCCGGGCTTCACACCACCTGTGCAGGATTTCTTTGCACCTCGCTGGGCCTCATTATCGCTGCATTTCTAATGAGGCCAAGGCTTTTGCACCTTGTCTGCTGATGGGGTGACTTCAGCTGCCATCCCCACCCCTGAAATCTGCAATGCTTTGAGGGGGTCCTGGGACTGGCATCCATCCTCTCCCACTCCAGTGTCCCGGGGACGTTTCCTTCTGTGCTACTACCCTCTCCTCCACAATGCAACCACCCCACGCTGCGGGGAACCAAAGTCATGGCTTACTAGCCACAGGCCGGCTCCAGATGCACCCCCACAGCTCTGGAGTGGCTCCTGTTTCAGATGCCGCAGCAGGGTCCGCACAGCCGCTGCAGCAGCAAGAGGGAGGGGCCGGGGTCTGCACAGGGCATTTGAAGGCCAAACCGTTCCTTGGGCCTCAGCCGGCATCTGATACCCAACTGTCCAGGAGCCTGGTCCAAGCCAGCCTTCCTTCCAGCAGGAGAAATCATTGGGGTTTGCCCAGAGATTCCCCCAACCACCTGCCTGGCTCCACAGTATGACCATCTCCCCCTCATCTAAATGGGACAACAGCTACCACATTCAAACTGATGCTGGTGAGAGCACCTTGTGTGAGCC